GGTGCACCACGTGGAGGTAAGTCTATCGCACATCCCATCTTGGATTTATTGGTTAATGAGAAGGCTGATCAAAGTACCAATTTATTTCCATCCTCTCCGTTTGCCGGGGGAGGGGGGGGGGTACTTTGCGCTTCGTTATCCTATCGATCATTTTGGTAAGAAAAGCTTATTAAGCCTTGTCGGGAGTATCAGCCAATTATTTGTTTAACCCAAAGCTTAATATCTGTGTAAAATCTGCTCACATGCTACTTTGTCAAATTTTTTCATAGTGAGTGTACCACATTTTCTGCTCATTCAAATTGATTTTCTTTTTCCTGGCTCATTCAATATCTTATTTCCACCTATCTATGAATGTCATCACTCGGACATTCGATGCGAAATGTGTACTTTGGCATACACCTCTACTGTCATGGTATTTATATCAGGACGGCTCCTCACTCAATGAAGTATCTGAGTGATGTTATACAATGTTTGAGTAATTCGGGTACTCCGGTAGATAAATATTCTACAACTAGTTACTTTTCCGTCAAGCGTTCGCTATTGCAGTGATAATTCCCTCGCTTTACTCCTGCAGCTACATATTCAGCATGCACTTCTGCTTGGCCTTTTGACTTCCATGGGCTAAAAAAGACGAATTTCCATTTCAATACACCAGCTTCCGTTATCACCTAACTTCAAAGAACTTGTTGATATTTTAGAATTTTCCTTCATTTCGCTTCGCTTAACCTTTGCTGCGTAACCCCGCGCATTCAATTAACGAAATTCAACTCACTTCAATTTCTTCTTACAAGTCTACTTATGCATCTCCTCTTTTGCTGTCAACGTAAGGATGTTTTGAAAATAGAGTTTGTGTCCGTCAGAATAGCTTAGGGCTGGAGTGTAATACCTCTTTTGAAGCTGTACCAAAATATTTTCTGCAGCTAACTACGTAAAGGTAGACAGAGAAGCTGAGGCTTAATATGTCTGAGCCATTTTGGACAAGACCGGGGGGGGGGGGGGGGGGTGGGGTAAAAGATAAAGCGTGATTGATAGCCAAGTGGTATTAGTACTCAGGGAATACCTAAATTTGAACCAACAGCACTATACCGCAATGTTGATGATATGTCCTTCTGTTTTCAGGAGCAACTGAAATCCGCTCAACTCTTTGGTTATAAGACAGAAGAGCTCTACAAGCGAGCTAGTAGCTATGTTGAAGGTGTGAAGGAACTCCTTAGAATCTGCGAACGTGCCTCTGAATTCATTCTTGGTCAAAACAAGCCTCTCGCCTCGACAAAGCTCGAGCGTTCTTCCACTGGTGTGGAGGGGACTGGCAAACGATCACGACGATCTAGCCTGAAGAGAAAACAATCTCAACAACGTCAAGAGGATGAGCAACAGGAGGAGCAGCAGCAACTGTTTGAGTTTCAATTGAAACGAAGGTCATCTAGACCTGGAGGCACCGAAGGGAAGGTGGTCACTCACATCCAACAACATAGTATTGACTTTAGCAAGTATGTGTACCTGGGTAACGTTTTGACTTTTAATGTACTTTTGTTGACTCTAAGTGTAGGTTCTCAATACAGTTATGGCGTACCTTGACCATGTCCCCTGTGTTAATCTTAGCCTTCGAAACAAAAAGTACGCTTTTTGAGGTCCGATTGTAGACATCATGTTTCATGCACTGAACTATCGATTAGTGGTGTCTAAGGCTGATAGCGTTGTCCAGCCATATAGCTTATTATTAGCCGTATTTTCCTACGAATCAAGTGGCGCTCGGGTACGAATTTGACTCCCATCGAGATTACAAAATTTACTTGACTCGACAGATGAGGAACTTGCACTATATTTAGAATTATGTTCAAAGGTTTTATTACAAATCCGTTTCGGGTTATGGAACCTAGTGCAAGCGGATTTTGCTATTCTCCTTTGAAGTATCTCCAGAGCTACTTTCAGACACACACACCGGGACTAGTGTAGTTGCTGTTCTGCTTGTGCTTTTGATCTTGACAATAGTTTTCCTCGTCGAGAATGAATCATATTGTGCTCCATCAGGATATTTCAATCCATGTCGTAGTTTCGTCATCTTTGTCAGACAGTCATTTCACAGATCTCCTAAATGAGAATTTGACCTCTACGACACTTCCGTCAACTTGTGCTTGCGAAGGTCTTAATTGAGTGGAAAATGAATGATTGAGGCTGAGATATTCGATTAACTGTTGTGGCAAAACCCGAATCACGATGTCAATCTGCTCATTCGATTTTAGAAGAAGTCTACTGTAAGAACGTAGTAAGATTAGATCAGTTTGTATGCTGTGTTGCTTTCCGCTGGACACAGCAGTCTCTTGGTCTCCATTGCAACTCACTAGTTCATGTCGAATTCTTAGTCAGTATCGATAGAGCTTTGAGTAGGGATCGTGGTGTGTCACTTTTTTATGGCCTCCACGATCAAATCGTCATCCATTCGCAGTGTGTTATCACGCCATATGGGTGATGAAGAGGGGTTCGAAATTTTAACCTAAGTGCAATGCTCGTGGAAATGTAAATTTTTATCCCAAAATATCTTCTACCTTCCTGATGAAGCATCTGTCATTGGAGCTAGTGCTTTTCTTCTCTCCTATTAGTCTTTTGGTGGACATCTAGCCTTTTTAGGTATGATGACACGTCTTTGTAAACGTTTCAACTTATCTTTGAATTCTTTTGTAAACACCCGGTCGTATGTTTGTCAAAGTATAACTCTTCGTCGTGCTAGAAAGTTGAGATTCTGCCAATATATGATTTATCTGCCCACTAGATATTTCCTGGCCTCAGGGGGGGGGGATGAAAAGGCCATGGCAGATGTGCAGTTACTCCAACTGTGCTAATTAACTTAAAGGGGCTACTTGCCATGAATAACCTTGACAACTCTGCCTATGGAGGAGGAGGAGGAGGAAATGGTTTCGACTCCCCACGCATGAGACTTTCATTTCACTCTGACTACTTAGACCACACCTGGAATAAGATGTATAACTCATATCCAAAGTTATTAATGCGTTGAAAGCGAACTTGCGGGTTTTCCAATGGCATACTACTTTGGCCCTATTTTGGTCGTGGTGTTTGCTGTTTGGCGGAATGACTCACCACTTGCGCCAGCTGATGCGCGCCTGTTCATTCAGCTATTTTAGGCTACACCTCCGTTGGAGCATCATTTCACTTCTCATTCCATCCCTTCCAATTTGAGGTAAAACATATGTGAACTCACAGTTTTTGGATTGTTCATCTAATTTTCAGATAATTGAAATTTAAACGTGTTTATGCTGTTTACCACTAATTTTTCACTGTATCCTCATCGGCCAACATTAACTGATCTATGTATTTTAAGCACGTGGGTTAATTAGCTAATTAAAATAAGCTTTACTAGCTTTGCGGATTTGGCTGAATTTTTTGCGAGGCTAACGGTTTGGAGCCATTTTCTGTGTTCTTGTGTCATTTTGGCTCTGTCTGGTCTGGTTAATGTGACCCATTGTCACGTCTAGTTAAAGGTTACTGGGCTTTACTGCCGTATTTACAGCTGAACGTATGATGAGTTGTCTTCAAATTTCTTTTTTTAGTCCTCGGGAAGCAGATTTTCTTAGTCTCCTTTCAGCTATCGATCTGGAGGAAGCCGCAGCACCCATCAGCTTTACTCGGAAACACCGTGATGAAAATAAAGACAGTAAAGCAAACATTGAAGACGAAGATGACGATGCATTACTACCCTACATCGCCAATCTCCGGAGTCTCTTCATTGAACTTCTTCCAGGACTGCGGGACACCGTTCTCTCGCTTCTAGAGAAGGCAGGCTCTGAAATAGAAATCTCTTCCTCATTAGTGGCGAAAATCTACACCAATTTAACTGAGTTAGTTTCCAATCTGAAACAGCGATTTCCTGGTTGGTGTGAGTATTCAGAGGAGGTCCGATTGGTCTCGCTGGTAAGTAATTGTTAAAATTTGAATTTGAGATGTTTCACTAATGCCCCCTAGGCTGGCACTACTACTGCTACACCCTACGTGCTGTGTAAATTGAATAGGAATGATAAAACTTAGGGATCACAAACTGAGCTGTTGTTTTAACGGACATTTCTTCACCACAGGTCAGGAATGAGACAAAGATACTACGGCTGGATATTTATAATAGGGGAGGACACAAAGAACTAGTGGTAAACAGTTAGATGACAGACACAGACAGAGATGCGTCATAGGTGAACTTGTAAAAACATCGATTTACTAGTATTCCCTCCTCTCCTTTTCTAATATGATACTGACTGGTACCACGAATTGGGGGGGGGGG